TTCTTATTTATCTTATTTATTATTATTATTATATTTATTGATGTGATCATTGTACGTATTGATTTTCAGCTCGTAGATTATTGATCACTTGTTGTTTAATACTTATAAATCATGAGATCGTAAGAATTTAATTTATTATTATTAGTTTATTTATGTCACACCTATAAGTGAACAATACGCATATTAATGGATCAGTCAGTCATTTTATTAATTGATCCATTTATTGATTTTGGACGCTAATAAATAAAAATAAATAATAAAAATCCGTTTCTTTGTTTCTGATAAAATATAAACTTTAAATCTCAAAGCAGAAAACTGGTTCATTGTAAGATGAAGATAAATAATCTATAATTATAAAATAGATCAACAGAAGAGTAAAATACATTAAATCTATTTTATCAGCTCAACAAACTGTATTATTTATTGATCGTGTATTCAGTTATAGAACTGAACTTCTACAGTTGATCAGATTTGAGTTTGGGTTTTGTTTTGTATTAAGCTGTAAAACATTTAGCGTTAGTTAATCGGGCTTTTCTGTCCATTTATTGTTTGTTTTAAGTTGTTTGTTTCCTCGTTGAACCTTTTCCTTCTTGGTTTTAAACTGTTTGTGTTTGTAAGAAAACTTTTATTTGACCAAAAACAACTGATTTTATGTTTCTTCTCTTTTACATTAATGTGAACATCTGTGGATACGATCCTATTATCCAGTGTACGCACATTTAAACATTAAACCAACATGGAATCAATAGATTTCCTTTATAATGGTCTTAAAAAGATCTTTAATAATATTATAATTTAACCTGTTGAAACTCTTTGTGATGGACGATGTGACGGCTGCTTTAGATTGCGGAGGTCAGATGATGTTTTCTTACTGCCAAATGTAAAACAAAAGAAAGAAATAATTATATTGTACCTTATTTAACAGATCAGTTAATTTCTGAACCGAACAATAAAAACAAAGCGACGTTTCACTTTTTGTTCATTTATTTCTCCAAAATTATTTTGTTACGTTTCTGTACAACTCGGCTTTTCAACTCCTCCAAACATTTTGCATTGAACCTGAAACATTTACACTCCTGCTGTTTGTAAACCCATCCACGTCTCCTCACAACATCCATCCACAACATCATCTTCATCACCATCTTCATCATCTTCATCACACTTCCTGTCAGTTTATGAACCCGCTGGCCACAAACAGCAGGACGGGGGGACATTTAAAAATGGCACAGAAACATTTAAAAATGGCACCAGGAAACATCTGGACCCACGTGAAAGAAAACATGGAATAATAATAATAATAAAAAACAAAAAACAGCACTGCATTGTGGGAAATTTGCTTGTTTGCCGTTGAGTCGTAACCAGAGCGGAAAAAAAGACTGAAATGTTGAAATTAAGTCTTTTATGTAAAAAAAAATGTGAAATTATATTTTACTTTATCGTTTAATTCAAATTTTCCATATTTAGTTTGTAAGAATTTAGTTTTTAAATTTACTTAAAATTCAGGTTTTAAATCAGAAACTTATCGGGGGAATTTTTAAATCCACCGAAAATCAAATAATAATTATAAAATTCAATTTTACATTTTACATAAAAGACTCGACTTTAATAGTTTTGAATTTGAAATGTTTAAACAGTTTCCTTTAATGTTGACACTAAAGTAACTCCATACTTTTATCAACCTAAACAACAACCAGCAGATTAATTAATAATAAAAACAACTATTAGTTGATGCTTTTAAACTGAAATACGACTTCCTGTCCAACTCTGGAGAAAAAACAGCAAACAGGAAAATTTCCCCCCAAAATGTTCTTGATGAATTTTGACGACATGAAAACACAGAAATCCTGATGTCAGTGAACTACTCACAGTACGCTCATGTTAATCTGCAGTTGGTGAATCCAACGTCAGAAACAGGATGAAACTAAACTCTACTCGTCTCTCTGCTGGAGGTATTTCGACTGTATCGTCCCCAGTGCAGCTTCCATTGGCAGAAATAAACACAGGAATGGTTTCGGCACCGACGACGAATAACAAAACAACGCATTTAAAAACAAAAACTAAAAGTTGGCAAAATGAAATCTCACGGTTCAAACGTTTTTTTTTTTCTTGAGGAGGATGGAGGAGAGTTCATCCACCCGCGGCCAGCAGATTCCCACCCAACACCCAGCAGAACGTCTTTAGTGTCTCCACGAGGGATTCAAGTCCAGCATTGTCCTGTAAAGATGAGTCAGCGGAGGGGAAATTTAAAAAAAAAAAAAAAAAAAACACACAAAAGAAGAGTTTCCAGCTTCCGCTCCGACGTTTCTGACCTCCGGCGCTCGTTCAGCTTCTCAACATTTGCACAAATACGGGAAAAAATAACTATAGCCAAAGTCTGCATACAGGAAAATATGCTGTTTGTTTGTTTCCTCCCACCAAAACATTCTTTTACTATCAGTGCAAATGAGGTAGACATGACAGACAGCATCAGATCACACGGAGGTCGGCGCCCGGCAGACGGAGGGTTGGAGGGGACTGCGAGGCGCCGCCGCCGCCGACTGCGTGATTTATTTCTACCCATTCGGACTGTGCAAAATAAAATGATGAGGTGTTTAATTGGGAATAAAAGAGAGAGAGTGGAGTTCTGCTGTAAGAGCCCCAAAGTGTTCAACATCCAGTAAGAACAGGAAGTCGCACGAATACGTTAAAATAACGAAAAACATCCGTGAAATAAGTTGAGAAATGAACTCGCTGTTCTAAAATGTTTTCTAATTTTAAAATTTCATATAAAAAGATGTTTATTTCACTGTAAATGAGATAAACATGAATAAAAAAAAAAACATGAAATCCAGTAACGTTTCATAATGTTGAAATTTAACAATTTTCTTGGAATATTTCACCGATTGTTTGATCATTTATAGATTTTACACCATTTATTCATTTGAGTATTTATTCCTTAAAGTCTTTTTTTAAAATGATTTAATATTGACCACTTTGGGGCTCCGTATTTCTGCAGGTTACAGAGATTTTTTGGGGGAAGTTCGAAACATAAAAAACAAAAAAAATGGCACCAAAACGTAGTGAAAGAATCTGAAAATACGTCGACTGTCAGCGGACGCTCCACTTTTTAATACTGGCTCAAAATAAAAATTAAAAAAAAAAATAAAAAGTAGAACGCAGCCCTGCCCAGAACTGTAGACTCCTTCCCTGAGACCTCGACAGGAATGCTGGGAAAGGTAGTCCTTTTATGTCCTCCTTAAAAACATAATTTTTTTTTCTGTGTTTTCTGTTTTTATAGCTCTATCACAGTAACATTGCGCTTATTCCCCACCTAGTGGTCAAAATTGGCAATTACATGTTTTAAAAATTAGCATACAACATAAATATTCCAACTGCAGTAGAGGTAATAATAATGATAGCATCTATCTGTCTGCATCTAGTACAAATTGGTATAACTCACGTGACAAAATAATCATTATTATTATCACTCTAACACAGTCTCAAAGTTAGTGCTTTTATGTACACTGGGAAGTACAATGCAAGTCAAAAGTGTTTGGACAGTGAACAATCTTCAGTATACCTGCTACATTTACAGGTAACATTTATATGCATTTATATAAATAGGTAGTGTGCATGGGGATCCATACAAATGCCGTCTGTACACAAGTTCCATGCACTGAATTGTACTAATTTGTAATGTAACATGTACATCTTTTATCTACAGATGCAGACCTAACTGTGTGTGTGTGTGTGTGTGTGTGTGTGTGTGTGTGTGTGTGTGTGTGTGTGTGTGTGTGTGTGTGTGTGTGTGTTTGTGGGTGGGGGGGGGCAGGTGGAGGTGTAGGTAAGCTGCACACACACACTTTCAGCAAACATCGCACGCAGGTTTTTAGTGCTCGGCTCACTCAAAAATACTCTCTGGCAGCGTCCCTTTAAAGGAACACTCCGACATTTCGGTTCGTTGTTTTAACTGCAGACGATCCACAGACGTACGGAAGCTCATTGCCGACTTACAGAATCTCGTTTTCTCCCGTCACATTGGCAGCAATGAGCTTCCATACATCGGTGACTGATTTAAGGGTTCAGAACAGGAAGCAGGAGGGAAATACTTTGATAAATTTGGCCGACATACACGTTCAGGGTTCCCACTTTTTAACGATTCTGTCCTGTAATTTACTGGTTGCTTTTATAGACACACTTAACCTCAGAGGTTCACGATGAAGTGACCCGGGTTTGTAGCAGGTAGGTAGTCGGCATTAATGGGACGCTGACGTTCGCTTTCTGACCATTTTTCTGCTGCGTCTCCGGTGATTTCACTGCGGTTCAGTTCAACCCAGATTCACGTCGGCGATCTGAGCGAGCGGCTAAAATACAACTGAAATTTTCCAGGACAACATCAATTATTTCCAGAACATTTCAGTAAGTTTAACTCAGTTTTCAGGTGTTTTCATGACTGGAAAACAAGTCTCTAAGTATCCAGGTTTTCCAGGGAAAGATTTTAATGTTTCTGTCATAAATTAATTACAACTAATCAAAACTGCAGATTATTTATAAGTTTCCACAAAGTAAAAACTTCCAGTGAGGCGTTAACTTCTCTTTATTCCTGCACAGACGCAGCGTGTAAACTGTTTTTAATTCACTAGAGGTCGTTTTCCTCCTGCTGAAGCTCCATGAACTGTTGTGAACACCCGGTAGATCAATCATATAATCAAACAATCAATAATCTCCTGATCAAAATGTCCGACTGTTCCTTCCAGAAGACTTAAAGGGCAGTGGTAGAGTTGTCTCGGATCAGCCCAACAAACAAATGGCAGTGTTTGTTTAATTGTCATTTACAGAATTTTAGCACTACAAATAAAAAGAAAAAGTGTTTTCAAGAAATCTTCCCTTGGTCGCCCCCCCCCCCCCGCCCGCCCGGCCGGCCGCCGCTGGCGCCGCCCCCCCGCTGAACGTATGAAACACTTACAAATCAAAAAAACTGGGTTTACAATTTACCGTTATTTACATAGTTACAGTGGTTTTTAAAGCACCGCCAAGTGGAAGCTCCACAACTGTCGCTCAGTTCGATACAAACTGAAAAAACTAAAAGCAAAAAGAAAAATAAGAAAACTAAAAACTCGTCGGCTCAACTTTCAACCTGAACAACCTGAAGGTCTCGGCTCAAACCTGAATCTCAAACTGGTCCAACAGGAAACTCCTGCAGGTTAAACCGTCTCGCCACAAAGTCAATACTGTGCAATGGATTCAGCGCGTTACAAAATGAACAAGAAGTTTCGACTTCGTAACTCGCGGCTCGTTTTCATTTCGCTCTCCGACGTTTTTTCTTCTTTTTTTTGTGATTGTTTTTGTTTCGTCGCCGTTCCTGTGCAACTCTTTAAAGTGTGGAAGAGGTTAACAGTGATCTTTAATACTCGTGTGTTTCTGCTCCATTAAAAACGTTTCCTCTCTTTCTTTCCTCGTGCGCCAGGAACCGATTCGAGTCCCCGAACACAGAAAGAAAGGAGATCTTTAAATTTACACTTTTAAAACCGGGTTCTTTTTTTAAACGATCTATTTACTTTCTTCTGGCTCTTTAAAGCCTCGAAAAATAAAAACCCTCCTCCCTCTCTCTCTCTCTCTCTAATGGTTCTATTGTGTTCTCTGTAGCCCTGTTTGTTTGTTTGTTTGTTGGTTTGTTGTTTTCTGTACAGAAGCAGACTGTCGCTCGCAGAGAGGAGGACTCACGAGTACGAGAGGTGAGAGCCGTTAGAAATGTGAGAAGTGACCGACGTGCTCCGGCTGAGCCCCCCGTCGCTCCCGCCGCCCGGCCCCCCGGACGCCGTCCTCCTCAGGGGCTGGGGGCTGTTCCTGAGCGCCATGAGACTGGGGCCCCGGACACTCAGGCCCCCGCCTCCGTGGCCCCCGCCTCCGTGGCCCCCGCTCCCGTGGCCCCCGCCTCCGTGGCCCCCGCTTCCGTGGCCCCCGCCTCCGTGGCCCCCACTTCCGTGGCCCCCACTTCCGTGGCCCCCGCCTCCGTAGCCCCCCTGTGACGATGAGGAAGAAGAGGCGGAGGAAGGAGGGGAGGAGGAGGAGAGGGAGATGGGTGGAGGCGGCGGTGGGGGAGGCAGGAGAGCCAGGGACTGGGAGGAGGCGTGGGTGGAGAGGTGGTGGTGGTGGTGATGGTGGTGGTGGCCCTGGGAGTGATGGGGGTAGTGGCCCACTCCTCCGCCTCCCACCCACTCCCTGGGCCGCTCGCGCTCCCTGCTGTCGCGCTCAAGGTTGTCGCGGTACAGCTGCGGCGTACTCTGGTGGTGTTGGTAGTGCTGGGGGAGGTAGTGCTGCTGCTGGTGATGATGGTGGGAGGAGGAGGAGGAGGAGTGGCCCCTGCTGCTCTTGTGCAGCTCGCTGTCCCTGCCGAGGCCGTGGGAGGAGGTGATGGACTCTGCGCGGCTGAAGCCTCCTGCTCCCCCTCCTCCGTGGTTCTGACTGCGCCAGGACGGAGTCGCCACCGAGTTCTGGACGCTGTGGCTCCAGTGGCTGCCCGAGCGCGGGACGGGCCGGGAGGGCCAGCCGCTGGAGCCCGAGGAGGGGCTGGGGGTCGGGTAGCCCTGGTTGAAGGCCTCGGCCGGGATGCCGGTCAGCGCCATGTTGCTGAAGCCCAGACGCATGCTCTCCGAGTCGAAGGCCTCGATCTCGTGAGCCTGGCGCTCGAGCAGAGTCCGGATCCGCTCTGAGCGTTCGTTCTGCAGAGAGAGCATCTCCTCCTCGATCTGACAACAGACAATCCCACTGTCAGTGAACACAACACAACAACTTCTTCTATAGCTGGAAACATTAATGGATCAATTCACAGGAAGTTATTGACCCTTATTTTCCACAATCAATGACTCCTTTATTCATTCTCTGGTTCCAGCTGTCAATGTGAGGATGTGATGCTTGTTACTGTTGGTGGGATAAATCAGAAGTTGCTTTGTATGAAGTCTGAAATCCTACGGTAGAAACACGAGGCAGAACTGAACCTCACAAGGTTCTTCAAAGTTCAGGGTTTGGGTCATTAAGCTTTTGCAATGGAAACAGAGCTTTAGTGTTGAGATGGCCTCACATTAACTTACATTAACTTACACTGTGTCAGACAACGGTCAACCAGCAGTAGAGCATTACAGAAACGTACCCGTTGCTCCAGCAGCGCCCGGCGGATGGACACCCTCTGCTCCAGGTCCTTCACCTCTCGCTCGTGCTGAGTGTCGGTGTGGATCTTGATCTTGCTCTGGTAGGCGTTCAGGAGCTCCAGCTCCTGTTGCAGCTGCATCCGCAGCACCTGGTACTCGGCCTCCTGGGTCTCATCCAGCCGCAGCTGTGGGAACAAACGGGGAAGAGTGTTGTATCAGTAGAGCAACAATCTGCTGCGTGACCCCAGATAATTATCTTTATTTGATGTAAATGTGCGACGGTAGTTTTTCTTCCTATTTTAAATAAACAGAAACATAATGTTTCACTGAGGATCACCACTACTGATCATATGGGTTACGCCTGTAACTGTGTTTGGTGGCGGCCCACCACGGTCTCATTTGTTCCACCACAGTTTCACAATGGAAATATTTAGGACGTTGAGTTTTGTGCCGTTGCTTCAGGATAGCATCTCTCACTCCCAGTGCAACTATTAACTCGTGCCATGGTTCTCAGATCAGCCCCTGTTCAGGGCAAAAGCCTTTATAAAGGCGGTACGAAGCCTCGTATTGACTCACAACGAATACTGTACACTCCACGTTAGCTTGGCTGTTCTCACCGCAGCCCAAGTGTTTGTTACAATTAACATCGCTGTGCATCTGTTTGACAACCACAACAACAAATCTGATAATTAAAAGGCTGTTTGCATGTAGATGTGATCATTTACAGAATCTCCAACGAGCTTCTCTGAGCTTAAACTGAGTCCTGGTGATGAAGGTGCTGCTGGTGATGAAGGTGCAGTGGATGTGTTGTGGTGTAGAAGTGTGGAAGGTGCGCGGAGGTTTCCTTGCCTTACTCACAGCCTGTGTGGACAGCATGTCGTTGATGGAGTGGTCGTACTGCTCGGCCAGGATGGCCAGCTTACGTGTTTGCTCCTCTTTGAGGCGTTTGAGGACGGCCTTGTGGTCGGATTTGGGAGTGCTCTCCAGCAGGTGGTTCCTCAGGGCTTTGTACTGGCGGGTCTGGATCTTACAGGTCTCCTGGAACTGACGTTTGATCTGCAGCTCTTTGGACTGAAAACAGGTTTTAGAAACAATCAGAGAAGATCAAAGTAACACTGAAATATGCTGAATATTATATACTAAAATACATTTTGGACTTACGAGGTTTATTTATTGTAAAGTCAGCAAACTAAAAGCTGAAGCTAATTCTTTGATCACCAATAAGTCTCTCCTCCTCCATACCTTCAGGCTCTTGGGCTGCTGCCGGACCTCCATGGTGTGTTTCTGTCGGAGCTCTTGTTCGCGGCGCTTGTTGTACTCCATCTGGTTGGTCAGTTCGGTCTGGTGTTGCGTTCGGATCAGATCAGCCCGGGTTCGCTGCACGGAGCTCAGCTGCCTGAACTCCAGCTCCTGCGTGGACTCATGGTGCCGCAGCAGCATGGCGCACTCCAGATCCTTCTGGGTCTGCTTCTTGTTCAGGTCCTGGTGGAGGACGAGACAGAGGTGATCAGAAATCCAGGAGGAAGGAGAGGAAGAGGTGTAAGAAGGAAAATACAAGGTGACTTTATCTGCCGTACCTCTCTGAGCAGGTCCTGCTCCAGGTTGTGGCGAGCCAGCAGCATCTTCCTCTTGTACTGGCGACACTGCAGCTCGTAGTACTGCCTCTGCCTCCGGAGCAGGCTGGCCTCCTCCTCCGCCTGCATCTGCTGCAGACACTCCTTCTGACGGATCAACCACTCCTGCTTCTCCCGCTTCGGAGTCGACTGGTTCTCACTCAGCTCCTGAACGGTGCCGGACACAAAAATAAGTTTAAAAAAAAACACACAAAAGAGACGACAAATGAAAAAACTGGACATCAAATCTGCAAAAATATCAACGTAACAGACACACAGCAAGTGTTCTACTGCAACCTGAACTCATCTACACTCTGTATGTCTGACTGAAGGAACCAAACTAACCATCTGTTAACACCAAAGATGCTAACAACGTTTCCGAACGTCTCTGGTTACGAATATATTTGTAGGAAAACTCTTGAGCTACTGTTGGAACCGTGAATTCATTTATTTGCTGCAGCGCATGTAAGGAAAGGAAATCCAATCTTTTAAGGGCCAGTTCAAAACAGGGCAATGCCAAACTGCCTGTGTGGGCAGTTGATACTAGAAGCACTGTACTGTTGTAGGATAATTCCTGCCCTGTACTAGTTAAGGACAAAAAAAGCTGAAATGTGTTTTAAAGATGCTTCCAGCAGACATTTGAACCCTGCAGGGAGACGACAGAGCCGTGCAGCAACTACACAACCGCATCATGAGTGAGTGTGCTCTGGTTCGAGGAATATAATCCATCATCAAAGTGCTGGCAGTTACCTCTTTCAGCTGATCCTTGCGCTGGCGATACTGGCGTTTCTGTGAGTCCAATAAACTGGTCAGTTCCTTCTTCTGCTGGCCCAGTATGTGCTGTTGGAACTTCTTCTCTTCTGTCAGAGCTGCTTTCGTCTGCAGGACACAAACCGAGGCTGGGTAAGGGGTCTGATACTGATACAGCAGCTATTATAAATCATAACCACACATTCTCCATCACTCTGTTGATACAGGAAGCTCTAAAGTCTCACCTCTTTCTCCAGGATGGCCTGGTGCTTCTTGACCAGCTTGTCGGCTTCAGTGGAGAAACTGTTCCTCTGGTTTTCCAGCTCTTTGTCCAGTTTCAGCTGGTGCTCGTCCATCTCCGCCTTCAGCTTGTTCTCCAGCCCCATCAGCTGCTTCTGGTGCTGCCGCCTCATACGCTTGTACCCGGACATCTGCTCCCGCAGCGCCGAGCCCTGCTCGTGTTCCTGGATCTGACGGGTTACCTGGAGAGGAGGGAAGAAACAGATGAGTTCAGGTGGCCAGTAGAGGTCTGTGAAAGGAAGGAATGTATCTGCAGCTGAAATACCAGCAGTTTATTTTCACACAGCTTTATCTGCATACATTATGAGACCATAGAGACAAACTTTAAGAAGTTTCTTTATCAACTGGAGCTTCATTCGTGCTCGTTATTGCTCGTCATCCAATTACATATCCCTTTGCATCTACATAAACTAACATAATCCACCAGATTTGACATTTTGGTGAAGTTATTATATTATATTTACGTTTATGTTTATTTACGTTTCTTTCTTCGCACCAGTAGCCATGTTTCATGTTACACAGACTCAGTCAGATCCCCAAAAGCCCGTTTATTGTTTACAACCCTCCATTTACCCTGGAGAAGAATAAAATCATAACTCCTAACAAATCTGCAAAAAATTACCCAAAGATTCATTAGGACATAACGTCAATAATCAGTTAATGTATATATGCAAACTACTGAATATAAAGTATTAACTGTCCATGTAAACCACTGCAGTAATTAACAGCCCATAAGCAGCTCTTCTTTGCTCCTCCGAGCCTCAGACTGGGAAGATGGAGCTGGTTGAATTCAGTTCACAGCTGGCAGATACTCCAGTGTGCAGTGTTGGACTTTATTTAGAGTTTCAGATATCTAATAATATATTAAATAAACAACAAAACAAAACAAAACAAAAATCCCCAAATCTCTGTCTCTCTCCGAGGAGGAGGAGCAGGAGGAGTAGGCCTGAAGAGGGAACCTACCAAGGAGGCGGTTCGGATGGTGGCGAAGTGGTCGCGGTTGCGATAGTAAGCTCGACGGCGTCCAGCTGAGGGAGCCTGAGGTTGGTCCATCTCTGGCTGGTAAGGGTCATCATAGATGTTATCCTGACCCTGAGGAGGAGGAGGAGGAGGAGGAGGAGGAGGAGGAAGAAGAGGAGGAGAGAAAGGTCAGACACTTTAAATCTAAATTGAAAATTGCTATCAAAGGTCAACCAAACTTCTAACATAACAGGAAGCTAGAAACCAAAGGAACTGAAGTTGGATCCAGAGAAACCCTCCCGGTCCCGGTCCCGGTCTTTACCGTGGGTCGGTGGATGATGGAGCTGTTGGAGGTGACCGTATGCTCGCCCTCCTGCATCATGGCCATCTCGCTGCTGCTGTCATCGGAGGCGTCGGCCAGACTGTTGACGGAGCTGCTCTGAGAACTGGCGGAGATGGACATACTGGGAACCGACTGGGAGCTCTCCATGCTGTTCACCGTACCCGTCCGCAACAGGTACTGCTCCACCTCCTGACGCACAGAAAATAAACCGGGTTTAGCCTCATAGGGATTGTTTCTTTTAGCTAACAGGCCATCAAGTCTTCAATCTTTATGCTTCTTGTGTGGTGTATTTAGAGTTCATACATTCTCATCCTTCACTCACTTCCTCTCCTCTCTTCTCGGGTACCAAAACCTGGACCGCTAACTTCCAGACTACAGTTAATATATTGTTCACTTTGTAGTAGACCATCATTGTTTATAATTCGATACCCAACCCTGTTCACCCGCTACGTCTTTCCTCCCACAGTCATTTATCCCCACTCCCTCTGCTCATACAGACTTTATCTCCCCCCTCCTCCCCCTCTGTTCCTCACCTCCTCTTCCTCCCCTCCCTCGGACACGGGGCCGTTCTGCTGTGTCTCCTGGAAGAGGATCTTCTTCATCTTGCGGTACTGCAGGTTGTCCAGCTCTCGCACTGCGTCCTTGGTTCGTGCAATCAGGTCCATGATCACCGTCAGCGGACGCTCGCGGCACAAGAACCGATGCTACAGGACGGAAACAACACATGAGCACGACAGAAGTGTGTGTGTGTGTGTGTGTGTGTGTGTGTGTTTTAGTGAGATATTGTGGTTGGAGCTGTGTGAGTTCTCACGTTGAGCAGCACGTCCGAGGTAGGCCGGTCCTGGGGAATCTTCTGTAGGCAAGAGTCAACAAAGTTGCGGAAGGAATCAGACCTGCAGAGAAATACGGGATTGTGTTAGTTTGTGTGATAAAGAGACTCACAGAAAATAAAATAGCTCCTTTAACAGGAAATTATCGACCCGGTTTTTCCCCACAATTGATTAGTTTACAGGGTTCGCACTCTTTTTAAGAAATTATTATTACAGGACAGCATTTACCCACAAACTGTCTTATAATCTACCGGTAACACTCGTAGGTGCTCAGCGTTTGTTGGATTTTTCTGTTGTCTTCAATTAATTGACTACAGTTTAGCTCCAATTCCTCCAGTTTAAAATCAAGTAGAATTTACTTTATTTGAAAGAAAATGAATCTTCTGGAGAGTGAAAGTGTTTGTTGCACATACGATTACCATCGCCGTGCATGTATTTATTCACCACATCAGCATTAATAGGATGTATGTGTAGATATAATAACAGTCTGCAGCATTTCCACTGAGCTTCCCTCAGATTTCTGCTCACGGCTACGGAAAAATGAGATCGCTGCAAATCTGTTCGAGTGCTTTTAACATCACGAAGACACCAAATATTGTTTCGTCTCCGTCACAACTTAAATGTCTCTATCACACTTCATGGATCAGAGTTTATTAATGGAGTCACTCAGCTACATTAAATAATGCAATAAGAAGATTTGATCAATCGACACAGATACATAACAAGATAATCAAATTATTTCCAAACAAACGACGTATTATCTGAAGAACTTATGATCAGAAGAAACTAATGAATCTCTCAGTGTTGAGATAAAAGCGGCTCTTGGCTTCTGTACGGATCAAATGAAGAGGAGACGTGTTTCTCACCAGTGATTGGACTGAAGGATGGGGCTTTCATTCTGAGCGATGTGATATAAGGCACTCATAGCGTTCATGTTGAACAGTGGGGGCTTCCTCTCCGCTGTGGAAAGAACACAATGTCAGGACCCTATCGTTTCACATAAATTAATGTCTGGGTTTATTCACAGAGAGTCTGCAGCTCTTACCCAGCTCTATGGAGGTGATGCCCAGCGACCAGACGTCCACCTTGCCGTCGTACTGGCCTTCATCCATCGCCAAGATCACCTCTGGAGCCATCCTAACACAGGAAGCACAGCAGACGTTTATGGTTATATTTACTGGGTCAAATGTTAATATATTTTGTGTTAGAGACCTGCACAATGCCAGATATTATAAAAGACGAATCCTGAATTCTACCAAGAAGCCACTTACACATTACTTCATGTGTATTTTGACACTATAGGACCACTGTAGTTGTCAGCACATAGCTAACAGCTAGATTTGAATACCTTTAACAAAAAGAACCAAAATCTTGTTGTGCTTTCTTTTCAACAATGTTGTCCTGCAGAAGATAAACACACTCAAGGACGTGTGGTAAAAGATTAAAAAACTAACTTACTATCTCGTGTTTACAAGAATTTAATGTTAAAAGTTTGAAATAAAACAGATCACATCATTGTGAAAAGACTAGATACAGCCAGATGTTTCACTCTTAGAATTCAGGGCATAATAAGAGGAACTTTCTCAGACCTAATTGTCCTAAAGCAACCTGTATCGGCCGATTTTAAAACGTTCCTGTTAATTAACTGCAGTATGTGAGGGAGGCAGTATGTGAGGGAGGAGACGGCAGGTTCACTCACCAGTAGGGAGTCCCCACGAAGGAGTTGGCCGGAGCCACGATGGAAGCAGAACCAAAGTCCCCCAGTTTGACCTGACCGGGCTCCGTCAGCAGGATGTTTCCCGCTTTCACGTCCCTGCAGACAACCAGACGATGTTAGCACCAACTGTTAATATATTAACATTAATATACTGATGTTCCTATTAGCCTTTTAGCTCTGGGAGACTAACAATATAAACCCAATACGTCACAGTGGACTGAAGAGGCTGGTAATAGTCTCAGTTCCAAAGTAACCTGGGAATACCTGATGATATTTATATTTATAGTAAGACCAACAGGATAAAGGATCATTGTGAGATAACAGGAATCATTTGAGCTCAGGACAGAAAGTTATAAACAATAAAGTTATATTTAGAGTCTCAGGATGTCAGGACATTCCTGGATCATTAGTCTCACCTTGTATTAAGCTCAACGTTTAAACTCACTGCCCATATATGTACATCCTATTGTTTTTAAATGTAGTTTTTAACGGATAAAGTGAGGCTGGACCTCGTCTGTCGGAGGATCCTTGATTAAAAGGTTTACCTGGGGAGGTGCAGCCAGGTTTAAGTAATCTGGATTCACAGGTTTCTTCATCAGTTTGTTACTAACAGCTAAACTCAGCAAGGATAACTGGAAACTCCTGGCTCAATCTGATGTCTAGGTTTTACGAAACAGCCCTCAGATGGATAATTTCCTGTTTTTGTTTTGTATATTTATTTATTTATTTATTTATGTTTGATTGGCTGCTGCTAAACTTCTCTATGCAATATATTTATTTCTTGAGGTTTGCATGGATGGTTGAACTGGAAATGAGCGTTCAAAAGTCTTTTTAAAAATACACACTTTAATAAAAACTAGATTTTGGCAACTTGTAAAGCCACAAACATTTAGGACATTTTAGGATTTGTTGCAGTAAACGGTTGAGTTGAGTGATTTTGTTGATAAAAACAACAGATCATGTTTAACATTTTACAAGGAGTACAATCAAATTCAAGTACAGTCATAAAATTCAGCTTTTTAAAACTTCCCAGACTTGAAACAAGAGTTATCATGTGAAGATCCGACAGAGTGAACAAGGTTTTACCTGTGAATCATATTGTGAGAGTGAAGATATGCTAATCCCTGCAGTGCACCATGGGTAATAGCAGCTATTTCGATTTCCTGGAGTGGCTTTTTGTGAACTGCGAGGACGAGAGAAAGACGGAAGTTAACGACTGATAAACAATCAAAGTCTGAACTGAAGTAACTGAGAATGACAAAGTGTGAGACGGACCTTCGAGGAGGTCGGAGGCCGAGCCGAGGCAGTACTCCATCACCAGCTGAGAGAGAAACAACATCAAGATCATTTATATACAGAATCACAACAATTACTCTTGAATCAGTTTCGGGGCCTTTTACAGGAGTTTTTCTTTGACAGTTCAGGACAGCACTCTGTTCTCCTTATGCCTCCTTTTTTAATAATAATAAGTGTTTATTAGTTTCAGGTTCAAAACCAAAAAGATGGCTTTAAATCCGTTCGGCTGTGAGCACTGACTGACGTGGCCGAATTCAAAAAGGAGCATTTAAATACGTCTGGCACTCTGACAGCTACTGTCGAGTTTCAAACTAAATATGAACCTTTAGGTTTAACTGTGAGAGGAACTAAAATACAATTATAATAACACTTCCAGGAGAACACAGATTATTTCCAGGATATTTGGTCATTTTAATAAATTTTCAGGTATTTCCACAAAGTCGCTAAATGTCCAGATTTTCCGGGTTCTTGAGTAAATAAATAGTTTTGATAATGAATTGATTGTTTAAGTTTCTTATTCAGTAAATGTGCTGTATATTCGCTGTCTCCAGCTCAGAGAGTGAGGATTTGTCAGTCGGTTGCAGGGACGTATTACGACGTATTACGACGTATTACGACGTATAACGACGTATAAAGACGCCCCCGCTGACTGACGCCGTACGTACCCATGCTGTGTGCTCCTTCAGGTAACATCCTCGATACTCGATAGTGTTCGGGTGGCGAAGCTTCTGCAGGAACTTCACCTCTTTAATGATGTCCTGCCATTTCTGCACACGACACAAAACACTCTCTAAGTTATACAGAAATATCTTAATTCACTTATTGTTCAAACATCTTAGACACAAACAGCAGTAAGACACGATACAGTAAGTAAATCAGATAGTAAATTACTTCTTTATTTCTAGTTTGTTACCTCGTTTGTCTGCTTGCCGCTGTAGGACATTTTCTTAATGGCCACCACCTCATTGTTGCGCACATCTCGGGCCTGTTGGACGACAGAAACACAATAAATCATTAAATTAAACACTTAAAAGACCAGATGAAAAAACAGGCTACACTGGTAATCAGATTACACTGTTATAAGCTTTGTTATTCCAACCGAAATTACATGTAAAGGACCGAGATTATTAACAAAAGCACCATCGTCACTGTGACCGTGGCACAAAGTAAAAACTGAAACAACACATAAGAAAAATAAACAATAAATACAATAGAAACAATAAAATGTAGACAAATAATGTAAAAAACTACAATAAAGAAGTAAAAACTTAATCCAAATTAAAATAGATAGAATTACCTTTATTACAGAACTTTCTTTCAATTCTGTTTCAAAGACATTTTAGGACCTGAGCATCTAAAATAAGACTTTACCTCTTTTAATGCTGTTTGTTTCTCTGTCCGTTAGTCGTAGTGTTTTATAACTGTAACTATCCTCGTTGTTGTTTCTGCTCTAGATAAATAAATAAATCTTTTCTTCACCACTCGGTGGAGCCAAAAGATCATTCTGATGTGTTCAGAGAGCCGAGAAACAGAAATGATCCGTTCGTCATTTTGTTTTTTGGATCAAATACTAAATATTTTCTCAAATCTACTGGAAGAGCATAATCCTCCGAAGGGTTTAATCCTAAACCCCAAGTGAGGATGCCGCTCTCAGACAACAAAGTCATATTGCACTGTGATGACAACATGAAGTCGGTCCGACTCCAGACTGTAAACAACTAAATGATGCATCATTACTGTTCCTACTGAGAATACGTCCCAAAATAAACTTTAAAACACAGAATAAATGGGGTGAAAGCCGCCGGTGGAGCTCTACAAACACTGCTGATACCAACTGAACGCTGATTTAGGGGTCCGTTTCTCTTTGACACAAGAGAAACTACAGTATGAAGCAGCAGCACTCTTGTTAAGTTGATGCAAATTGATGCACGTCGTCTATTTCTGCAGCACATCTTTAACGGCCTTTTAAGGATCCTCTGGAACTCAGACATTCAGCGTGGCGGTGAGAACACTGTGGAGGTGTTAGTCTACCACGCTGCCTGAAGAATAAAAAGGTTAAAATGAGATGCACAGCTTAGTGCATACACACATGTTGTGTTCCCACTGTTTTAATTAGGAGGGGGCATTTTCAGATTCACAGTTTCCTCATTAATGATAAAATGCAGATGAGACAGAGCTGCTGTCTTTCAGAAACCCACACAGAGTAACACTGCTTGGGGCCTCCTGGGCTCACTGTGCACTTCTGAGGGAATGTCTTCAATCTGATAGAGATCTGAACAATTTGATTTTCTTCAGCAGCAGGAACACGACACAGAGTCTCTCACTGCTTCATACTGGGACACAAAACAGGAAACTACCAACAAATAGTTTATAGGGATATAAACTTCCTGCCAACTAAACAGTCCACTAGTTTAAAAGAACTCAGAAAATAGTCCAAAATGGGCTCAATTTATTCATAAATTGTCTGTATTTTAACAGCCATTTGAAAACGTTCACTGGTTGAATTAACCGTCAGTTTATTCTGATGCAACCTTATTCTCATCTTCTGCTACTTTAAAACATCTTTTCCCACCTTCCCCCTCTGCTGGTTGACGTCCAGGCGCAGGCAGACGGAGCTGCTGTGCTGCGACTGCGTTGTTATTAACCTGTTTTGTCAAAGTAACTTAGACTGTATCTGTGTAAAATCTCAGATGTAACAGCTGACTGGTGTTGTCCAATGAAGGTCAACATTAATTAAATGTTAATAATAGTTTAACAGCTCACATCCCTGAGTTTATGTGACCATGGTCTTTTGTTGTGTGTTTTTACTACCAGCTGAGCTTCCAGTCCCCTAATAGGACGGATACGTTAGCTGCTGTTCATCAGGAAGCAGTCGAGGACGTCAGAGGGAAAACCTGAACAAATTTACTCCATAAAATCTGATCCAGTTTCACCAAAATCACTGAATCCAGTTATAAAGCTCTGTGCTTTGGTACGGTGAGACCTGGTCCCCAGAAACACTCTAATTCTTCATTTGTGGTCTGATAAACAGTAAATGAATCAGTGCCTTATATCACTACTTGTCCAGGCTTTGTTACTGAAGCTGTCGTTGTTACACCAATAGGAGGACGGAGCGGTGCTGATGAGCGCCTGATGTACGATTATCAGGCCGCAGCTTGTTCACAGATTATCCCTGAAACTCAACCACACAAACATCTGTCACCAACAAGTAGACGGATTTGACTCACAAAGTAAACAGCTCCGAAGCTGCCGTGACCGATCTCACGGAGGTCAGCGAACAGCTTCTCCGGATCATCTTTACAGAAGAGATCTGCCACCTCGGGGTCCTTGAGATTGCCCGCCCGTGCACTCGAGGGCATGGCCAGGGCCTGGAGGACGGGAGAGAGCACAGGTTAGTACAGGGAGGACGCAGCGAGGATGGAAGACATGTTTGTTAATCACTGTTATTATTACTCACTATTAATGGTCTATTATACAACCTAAATACTAATGTAACTTCATTTTCTCCTCGTTTTGAGTCTTTTTAAGAAAAAGTGTTCAAATTCTCTGATTTTAGCTTCTGAAATGTGAATATTTTCTGTATTTTAGTCCTCTGACAGTAAACTGGAGCCAAAACCGAGACATTCGAGGACGTCAGCTTGGCCTCTGGGACACTGATCAACATTTTATGGACCAAACAAATAATCTATTAGTCAAGAAAATGGTGGAAAATAATTGTAAGTTGCAATCAATCATCATTTCTGATTTAAAAAAAAACCTTCAAACAGCAAATGTTAATAATTGTAATGGTTATACTGAAAGCCCTGGCAGTTACTTTGTGAGTCATAGCAGGTTTCAGTCGTGTGTTGTGAGTTTTTGCTGAAGGAAACAACCCTTTGGTTTAAATTTGGATCGCAGACTGTGTGCCCATTTTGTGTTTGAAGGATGTGAAGCGTTTGTTTTCCACTTCAGCTGGGCAGAAAACCATCTAATTAATGTGTTAAACATGCTGGAAAATGCATTCCTGTACTCTTGTAAAAGTGACCCATTTTGCACAATTCCCTCATGTGCACCAAAATCAGGATCTTTATCAGCGACACTAGATATTCAAAATCTACGGTGCATGTCTCAGAAATTGTGCAATATTTTGAGGAATGTCATGAGCGGCTGATTTTTGGCGTCAAAGTTTGGATTTTATCTCGAGCTCGGCACCTCGGTGGCGATAGAAAACAGCCGTTATCTCCCACAGCTGATCTATCTGGGACAGTAACCGGCTGACAAGTTGTGACATGAAGACATTCAACAAATCTAAAAGGAGACGCCGGGATGTTCGACTGAGAGAGGACGGGAGAGAGCCAGTGCTGATGTGGGGGAGACAAAATGGCAGCTGTTTTTTTTTACAAAGTGCACTTTAACATGAATGGATTTCAATTATTAACTGTTCAGTTTGGGCTCCAACGTCTGACGTCAGGAGCATAAACGCTGAAGGACCCAACTTCCAAAATAAGAACACATGGCAGCAGTCGGTGTCCGGTTCATTAGAGGAGTCTAACAAAGATGAAGATGCAAATATTAATGAAAGAGCCGATCCTTCACCCTAGAACTTAAAATATCTGGACTTAATGTATATTTAGATAAAAGGAGGATTTATTTTACAAAATACTAGAAGAAAAGGACTCATAACAAATCCATACAGAGCTGCAATGATTATTATTCAAACATTAATTGTTTCTGATCTCATACTGACTTCATGGCGTCAGGTTTGGAGCGATATGGAAATTATGGTGGGAAAAATAGTGGCAGTGGCAATAAAACATACTGGAATCAGACATAACAGATTATTTCCAGGATATTGGGTCATTTTAATCCATTCCCAGGTGTTTCCAGGACGCTGGTACAGCCACTGGATTGTAGGAATGACTGGAAAGATGTGTGTTAATATCAGACTGTACGTTAGTTAGTGAGTCAGACGGCTTTTTACAGGTCTCTTGTGAGGATATTCAAGATTATTCCGATATTGGAAATTCACCACGATCAACTCATCTGAGTGTGTTCTCTCTGGATATGAGATAAACTTGTGTATCACCCCATCCCTTCAGGGTGTTATATAACTGTATTAAAGTATTCAAACTACATGATTAAGAAGTGTCAGGATACAAACTGAACATTTTCAGATTAAAAACAGACAGAAAACTGATAAAGAGGCGACATTTAAACAGTTAAACTGAATCTTTACTGAGTGCAGTCGAGGAACTGTGAGAGGATCTGTCCCCTTTACCGTCTCGAGCTTTAGACTGTAGAGAATATGTATAATATAAAGACACTGACTTCAGAGTGACAGTGTGAAGATGAATATCTGCTATTATGTTTTGGTTTCCATCCAACTCGCAGTATTATGTGTTAAACAAAGTATGATAACACGTCTTCTGTAAAGCTGTTGAGGATGTAGATTACATAATGTTTGAATCTGGTTTAAATCAGGAACCTCGACTAACCTGTTTCCATTATTCTTTCATAAGTAACCGTATTGTCTGAAAAGCCAGAAAATAGTGAAAAGCTGTGATTATAAAGTCCCAGATCCCGAGGTTCAACTATCTAATCAACTAACTGCCATCAAACAGTCAACATGGTGTGAAAATAATAAGAGATATATCTCTACAAGAGACCAGTATTGGCCGATCGTAGAGATAGATATAAAATCTGTCTCAAAAATCCCTCATCAGTCCGGCTGCAATCTTTCCATACATTCAATTACACCCCCGACCATACACACTTTATATAACGGACAGAGCTTCTGGGTCTGAACTGTCTTAAACCAGCATTCTCTGTAACAGCCAGCAGGGGGCGACTCCACTGGTTGCAATATAACCTGATACCATTCAGTCTTATGGAGAAATGAGTCGACTTCTCAGCTGATTTATGAGCTCAGTAAACAGTTTCCTGATGAGTTTCTGGTCTCAGTCTCTAGTTTCAGTCTTCTTCCATACAGCATGATGTTCATTTAGTAACTGATGGTCCCATTTAGAGTAAAACAGACCATAAAGCAGGGTATGCTTTAGGGCGGGGCTACCTTGTGATTGACAGCTCATTCTCAGTGAGTCCGTCCAGCTCAACGTACCAAACTCAGATCAAACTGTCAAACAGTGCTGATCAGATATGGATTCAGATTCTGTTGTTGACTATTTCTCTCCTCAGATCTGTTCACAAACACATTTTACTGTTTATCTGGAGAACCAGAGAGAGAGAACCTGTGTGAGCAGGCGAGCAGCCAATGAGAGCAGCTCCACTCACTTTACGTGACCTCCGCTGGCTCTGAGGTCCACAGTTGTGTCGCCTTAAGATCAGAGAGCAGCAGAAAGATTGATATTTAAATAAATCCATGCAGATGAGCCAAGCAGAGCTTCAAATCAAATCATCTGACTAAACCGGCGCCGTGGATGTGATCCGAGCCTGTAACGCTGAAGCTCGGGTTATCGACAAACATGGCTTTATAATGGGGTTAATGTAGCTGCTCGTCCTCGAGTGTCAGCCGGAGCCCCGAGGAGAGCCGGCAACACAAGCAGGCCTCTGTGAGCCGGTGAACGCATGAAAACACGGCCTCTGGGCTCCCTGTGTAACGCAGCACTGCGAGCCTCGTTCCTTTAAAAGCACTGCTGTGTAAACGTGCTAGTAAATCTGTGCTAGATGAGGAGACAGATTCCCTCTCTCTCTCTCTCCAGAACGCAGTGAACCCATTTCCAATCATATATTATGTTGCACTCGTTCAATCTGAGACATGGAAGCAGACGCCTGCAGCGACAGGCGGGAGAACAACAACCAAACAGAAGAAAATGTGGAAGAAAGAAATGTATTTGTCTTCCAGATTAGAGGGAGAAACAGGGTGTCCTAATTGCCTAGAGCTTATACAACACCACAGTGATGTTACTGGTTATATCTGACCGGCATCGTCTCTCCTTTCATGTTTTCTGTCCCTCAACACAATAAAAGCAGGATTAAATGTTAATTAAGAGTCCTAATACAGTGGTATTTATGACTGAGTGGAAACTTAAAGGGACATTGTTGGCCACCATTTTCTGATTCCTCTGCTTCATGCAACAAAAAAAACACTCATTCACCACTTTTGAAACGAGACGCCGTCTTGTGGTATCTATTTATATCATTTTTCCAAGGAACAGGGTTGTTCTTGCAAGTTTGGGCACACAACTCTGGGGAAGCAAGTTCCTCAACTTCCTACGTGGTAAAAAAACAAACTCACACGAGTTCATTTACAGTTAAATCTGTAAAGTTAAATAAAAACAGAGGGAAACAAAGCTCCCAGCTCTTTTTAAAACAGAACGAGTGACATGAAATTTGGTGTGTCAGTGGTGCCGAATGACCCGAGATCACATGGCCGACCTGACTTGGAAACAGTTTTTGCATAACAGAAGCTTGTGAATGTGCGTTAGCATTCACACAAAGAGGGCATACAGGCGTTTATTAGCACCGGTAACCGACACCTCCAGACACTAAACTGCTGTGATTCCTCACTTTAAAGTAAATAAGTGGCATCAGTTTGCAGCGGGCGTGGTCCCAACATCGACATTTATCCACAAACTGCAGCACAATAAACACATAACGCCAGTATGGGAGCTCACAAAGGGAAACACATTTCTGTGATTGGATGCCAGATCGCTGAAGGCAGGCGTCGTTTTTATATATAACTGAATCTCTTTGTTATTTAAGAGACTGAACGGGTTACTCAGGAGATGTGTGGCTTTGATTTAAGGTTTACGTAAGCATTACATCAACCTCTGCCCCGAACCAGGAAACCTCAGATCTGTTGGTTTTGTTTGTACGTTGCAGCAGCACACTGATAAATACCTTATCAACAGGCGGACGTTAGCCTGTTAAACTAAACTAATGAGACATAAACGAGGATCAAACTGTTAGATGCAACTGGGATTGTAAGACGGTTTAATCGCGATATAAAAGTGTGAAGAATAAAATCAGTGGGATGAAAAATGAACCGAAATATAAAAAGGTGTAAAGAAAATGAATCAGTCTCTTTTATAGTTTTTACTTTGAGTGATTGAACCTTTTATTCACTCTTATTGTTTAATCTTTATTATTACTTAAACTTATTTATGGTTTATTCTATGTACTGTAGCAGCTCTTAGTGTTTGATTCCTATTGTTTGGATGTTTTTATCCTGTAAAGCAGTTTGAGTTTTATTGATTAACGTTAACAGACGCTGATGAGGGCAGTAAACTAACTCTTGGCTAACGTTATCGGCTCTAGAATCACTTTTCTTTTTGTTATCAAACACATTTATTGCATCTCTTTATTTTGGGCTCTTTACCCTGTTTAACTTTATCCTGTTGTGGGAATAATCCAGCCACAGTGAGAGGGTCAGGATGATTGGAAAGATCTCCTTATTGAACATAGATCAGGTAATCAATACAGGACTGTAAACCGGAGACAGCTTTTACAGGTCAAACCATGTGACGACATTCATGATATTCTAAATCCACAATAAATGTGATTTCTATTATATCGTCCCATCACATTGTATTACATTAATTACCTGCAGATAACCCTGAACAACATTTCTATATTTCTATATTCTGTCTCTATTTCTGTTTCTGTGTTTAAAACTCCAACATACAGAGGGAAGTCCAATAAACCTGATTCCTACGACACAAATATGATTATATATATATATAAATATGAATGAGAGAAGCTGCAAACAGCATTAATGAACTTTAACATTTAGTTATATGAATATGCAGCTGTTTAAATCCAGATGTGAGTGATTGGGAGCGTTGCACAGCTGGAGGCAGAGACAGGGTGTAAAATACAGATAATGACAGAAACAGCAGAATATTTCACTTTAGAAATGAAACGATGATGATCGATCCGACTGAATGATCTCACTGCATCGGTTCTAATAACAGGTTTAATAAGTTCATAGTGCAGCCAGAAGACCAACAGACCTCCAGACACAGACACTACTGGACCCTACCGGACCCTACTGAACCCTACCGGACCCTACTGGACCCTACCGAACCCCTACCGGACCCCACCGGACCCTACTGAACCCTACCGGACCCTACCGGACCCCACTGGACCCTACTGAACCCCTACCGGACCCTACCGGACCCCACTGAACACCGCCCTACTGAACCCTACCGGACCCCACTGGACCCTACTGAACCCTACCGAACCCTACCGGACCCCACTGAACCCCTACTGACCCTACCCCGGACCCTACTGAACCCTACCGGACCCTACTGAACCCCTACTGAACCCTACCGGACTCCACTGAACCCTACCGGACCCTACTGAACCCTACTGAACCCTACCGGACTCCACTGAACCCCTACCGGACCCTACTGAACCCCTACTGAACCCTACCGGACTCCACTGAACCCCTACCGGACCCTACTGAACCCCTACTGAACCCTACCGGACCCTACTGAACCCTTTCTGCCCATTAAACTTCCAGGAAGTCGCTTCTTTTAGTCCCGAACCCCCCGCTGGTCTGAGTTCTGGTACCGGGGTTGGATCCCGCCGACCGGAGAGCGGAGAGCGTTAGCACCGGGAGCTAGCTGGATGTAGCTTCACTTACCGCGGATTATTGTGGTTCCGCTCGGGAACGAAAAACAACCGTTAGCGGCCGAGCTAGCGAGCTAGCCCGGGTCTCCTCTCGGCGGATGATCAGCACGACGTCCGGCCCATGTCCTCCTCCTCCGGGTCAGAGGAGCAGAGAGGTTGAATATCGGCTCGGATCAGAAACTTTAAAGCTCCGCCAGTCGCCTCTCTCTCTCGCTAGCCTCAGCTAATTGGCTAGCTTAGCTTCGATAGCCTGCGAGCTAACGCTAGCATTAGCTTTCCTCCGGGGTGTGGCTGATGTTGCTGCGCGGTTTCCCGCCACCGAGCATATTGTCCCGGTCCTCCGACCCCTGTGTGAGATATCCTGTCGGTGGTTCGTCCTACAGGCTGCGCCGCATCCTCACGGCGGACTTCTTTCTGACACCGTTTTTTTGTTCTTGCTAAATACAAGATGGCTCAGGCTGGTGGGGCGGGGACTCAGAGAGGGGGGGGACCGGAAACAGATTGGTTCTGTTTCCGGTGAGGTTTCCGCTTCACAAATAAAAGAGTATAAATAAATCGACCTAGATAATATTAATAATCTGGTACAAAGGCTCCGAGGCTTCATTTCATTCGTTTAATGATTATTATTACAGCACTCAGTTCGTGTTGGAGACATTTAATACACCGTGTGATTATAATTATAATGTTTTTATTATTATAACGACAAATATTCTCCAAATAATAATCTGTTAGTATATCAAAATAACAATAAAGGTTCTCAGAATATTAACTTTCTGATTCACTTTGTATGTTATGACCTCTTTTCCTTCTTTTATTTTGTGCTGCTGCATTTTTGTTGTTTTTCTTTCTCTGTATTTTTGTGTGTGCATGTCTGTATGACAACACTGCTTTATATAAAGAGACAGTACGATTGAAAATATAAGTCTGGAGTGTGAGATATTACTTATTATTATTATTATTTAACTAATATAATCATCACCAGCTTCCTCTTAGTCTGTACCTGTGTTCACTTGTTCCTGGACATCTGGTGGGGATTTTATGTCGCAGTTAATTCAGTGATTACATTTTAAGACACACATTAAGTAGATAACAGTTTGTAAGAGCACAGTTTCTCAAATAAAACAATAAATATGGTCAATAAAAGTCTTTATCTCTGAAAGCAGTGAGGTAATCTGCCAAAATTTAAGTCAAATTCTGACATCTAGTGGTTGTTTCTGTGAACTACACTGCTTCATTGTGACATCTGATCACATTAACGAGTCAAGATATTCATAATTTACTTGACCATACATTTATCTTATTTCATAATGTCACCTATAGTCATTTTAAAACCTCACATAATTTTAAAATGTTAAACTGTAACAGCTAACATTTACTCTGATATTGATCTTATTGTGGCTGCACTTTTTCACTGTGAATGTTATAAATCTTTCATTAATGATGAAGATGAAACTAAGAGACACATAAAACTTTATTCACCATCAGCTTTATTGCAAAGTCCAGCAATGCAACATTTAAACATATTAAAGAACCAGTTCTCAATCATATAAACATAGACATAATCTAAAATATAAGGTATAAAGTTTTATATTACACATTTAGAATGAGTCCATATGAAGGGCCACTTTAGTCCACCTCCTCAATGGTGGGCCCCTGGGAGCCGGCTCGTGCCTGCTCTCTACAGCTACCAGTGGGCATTCCTCCCTGATACAACTTGCTGATGACGGGGTTACACACTTTCTCCAGCTCTTTCTGCTGGTGTTGGTACTCCTCTTTATCAGCCAGCTGGTTGTTCTCCAGCCAGCCGATGATCTCGTCACACTTCTCAATCACCTTCTTCTGGTCCTCCTCACTAATTTTGCCCTTCAGGTTCTCGTCCTGCACGCTGCTCTTCACGTTGAAGGCGTAGGACTCCAGGGAGTTCTTGGCAGCGATCTTCTCCCTCTGAAGGTCGTCCTCGGCTTTGTATCTGTCGGCGTCCTGCACCATCCTCTCGATCTCTTCTTTGCTCAGACGGCCCTTATCGTTGGTGATGGTGATCTTGTTCTCTTTGCCGGTGCTTTTGTCCACCGCAGACACGTTCAAAATGCCGTTGGTGTCCACGTCGAAGGTGACCTCGATCTGCGGGACCCCTCGTGGAGCGGGCGGGATTCCCGTCAGCTCAAACTTGCCCAGCAGGTTGTTGTCCTTGGTCATGGCTCTTTCCCCTTCGTAGACCTGGATCAGGACCCCGGGCTGGTTGTCGGCGTAGGTGCTGAAGGTCTGGGTCTGTTTGGTGGGGATGGTGGTGTTGCGTTTGATCAGGGAGGTCATGACTCCTCCGGCGGTCTCGATACCCAGGGACAGAGGCGCCACGTCCAGCAGCAGCAGGTCCTGAACGTTGCCAGAGGTGTCGCCCGTGAGAATGGCGGCCTGGACGGCAGCACCGTAAGCCACCGCCTCATCTGGGTTGATGCTCTTGTTCAGCTCCCTGCCGTTGAAGAAATCCTGCAGCAGTTTCTGGATTTTGGGGATGCGGGTGGAGCCTCCCACCAGGACGATGTCGTGGATCTGCACCTTGTCCATTTTGGCGTCCCTCAGGGCTTTCTCCACCGGCTCCAACGTTCCCCTGAACAGGTCGGAGCACAGCTCCTCAAAGCGAGCCCTGGTGATGGAGGTGTAGAAGTCGATGCCCTCAAACAGAGAATCAATCTCGATGCTGGCCTGGGAGCTGGAGGACAGGGTTCTCTTGGCCCTCTCACAAGCTGTGCGCAGCCTCCTCAAGGCTCTCTTGTTCTGGCTGATGTCCTTCTTGTGTTTCCTCTTGAATTCCTCCACAAAGTGGTTGACCATGCGGTTGTCAAAGTCTTCCCCGCCCAGGTGAGTGTCTCCGGCCGTGGCTTTGACCTCAAAGATACCGTCTTCGATGGTCAGGATGGACACGTCGAAGGTGCCTCCGCCCAGGTCAAAGATCAGGACGTTGCGTTCTCCCCTCTTGCCTTTGTCCAGACCGTACGCGATGGCGGCCGCCGTCGGCTCGTTGATGATCCTCAGGACGTTCAGTCCGGCGATGACGCCCGCGTCTTTCGTGGCCTGTCGCTGGGAGTCGTTGAAGTACGCCGGGACCGTGACGACCGCGTTGGACACCTGGTGGCCGAGGTAGGCTTCAGCGATCTCCTTCATCTTCAGGAGGACCATGGAGGAGATCTCCTCGGGGTAGAAGGTTTTGTCCTCCCCTTTGTATTCCACCTGGATTTTGGGCTTCCCTCCATCTCCAACCACCTTGAAGGGCCAGTGCTTCATGTCAGCCTGCACCACTGGATCATCCAACTTTCTTCCAATCAGTCTCTTGGCATCAAACACAGTGTTGCTGGGGTTCAGAGCCACCTGGTTCTTGGCCGCGTCCCCGATCAGCCTCTCGGTGTCGGTGAACGCCACATAGCTGGGGGTGGTCCTGTTGCCCTGGTCGTTGGCGATGATTTCTACTTTTCCGTGCTGGAAAACCCCCACACAGGAGTAGGTGGTGCCCAGGTCGATGCCGATCGCTACGCCTTTAGCTGCAGACATTTTCACTGGAGACGCTCGTCTGTCAAACAGTTCAACAACATTTTAGAAACAAGTTGGAGGAAGTAAACATCAGCACATTACTGCACATGTGCACTGACTCACAGCACATCATTAATACTGCCATTATACTGTTCTGCTCTTCATTAGCACACTTATTCATCCACTGCTCAACATTATCAACACTAATTATTACTATTCATTACACTTCTGTTATATAACAGTTAGTACACATATTTTACATGTCTGATTTTCTATTTCTTTATACTTTGTTGTTATATTTTGTACTACAATGCACATATTTTAAAGTTCTTTATTATTATTTCTATTTCTTGTGATGTCTTACCCCCAGTAAAGGGATCAATAAAGTATTTCTGATGGTGATGTCACAGTCTACAGTCATATTTATCATCATTAGTTTAGTTCAACATTGTTCACTTTAAGTCAAATTGTGTAAAAATGCAGCAGAAAATGTTTTCTGAGCTTCTCGTGTTCAAGAAAACATTTAAAAACTAAACAGTTTGCTCCACTTACATCCCTTCAAAATAAAACGCAGATATGAATGGAGCAGATATGAAAGCATGAAGCTTTGAGAAATGAGTGTTGGACTTACAGTTGAGTGCTGAGTGGTCTGTGTTGTGAAGAGGATTGATCTTCTCCTTCCTCTCTGGATCTTCTGCTGCGGTCTGATCTGTTTCTGTTGCTGTCTCCGCTCTCCGACCAGCAGCTTTATATCTGTGGAAGCTGTCTGGCTGCTTCTAGACGTTTCACACACACACACACACACACACACAACACACACACACACACACACACACACCATCAAGTAGGAGTCTGTGGCAGAGACAGCTTCCTGTTGCACATTTCAAAATAAAAGCATTCAAGAAATAATACTGTGTAAGTGACTCAACTCAAGACTCATTCGTCTTATTTTGAAGGGTACATCATTTGACTGCCTGTATTTTGCTCCAATGTGAGTGCAGCTTTTGTTTCCTGTGTGATGACATCATGGACCGAAGTTTCTGGCTCCTGTCAGAACTTTCTAGGCAACCGGAGCAAAATCCAGACAGAAATGAATTTTCTCTCATTTGATCATTAGTTACTGTGAAGATTTACAGGACCCTAAAATACACAAGAGACTAAAAGATTAAAAACAATGCTAAGTTTTATTATTTTATTTACACTTTTCACATCAAGACAAACACCAAAACTACAAATTACAGCAACTAACACAACCAAAGATTAATAAAAAGGAGGTGGGGGTACAGTGCAGAGCCTCACAATTCATTATCATAGTGTGCACTTGATCCTCAGAGGAACCCAAAATATCAGAGCATGTTTTAAAACTTTATCCCAGTTTATTCCAAAATTATATTCAGTATCGCTGTTTGCTTTTAACAATGTCACAGAAAATCTTAACAGTACTATTACCTCACTTTGTAGGGGATGATAATGAGACTGTTACTACCGGTGCTTCTCTCCTCTTTATAGCCCCCCATTAAAGGGATTATAAGAGTCCAAGACCCCCGCTTTCTCTCTGTAATCATCTTTTTTACCAATTAATCCTACGCTTTTTATCTCCACCACAAAACAGAATAAAAACATTCTGTTTATATCATCGAACCAAGATTTTGGAATATACAGAGGAACTGAAGAAAATAAAAAAGATAATCTTGGGACAATGTTGATCTTCAGCACTTCAGCTCTGCTCCATAAGGACAGAGGCAGGGTTGAGCACCTTCTACGGTCTCTATAGAGTATAATAAAGGTTGTGCAGTCAAATCAAATATCTTATTATTGGTGTTATAATCAATACCCCCAAATATTTCATCACCTCTGCTTCGTCCAAGATCCGTCATGTACGTGTCAACCAAATATCATCTGCATACATATTTAATTTGAACTCATGACCACTCATTAGAACAGCTGTACGTTCTATAGTGGTTCA